AGCCCCATCTGTGCTACTCGAGGCGTAATTCGATCATCCCCTGCACCTGGGTGATTGATTAGAGGCTAAAGCCTCAGAGTAAGTCTTATCGTCATACCTTTGCCACATGGATCACGTCTCTTGTAAAACCTACTGTCACCCAACTAGCTCCAATCGCCGCCTCATCTATCCTGTCTCTATCCCTAATACCAAGTCTATGACTTGCCATGCCCACAAATGTTGTGATACTGCTGGCTTTGTTTAGGTTCAATGTTGAACCTCAACGTTTGTGGGTTGGCACACATAAGCATAATAAGTAAGTCGGATTTTAGCCGGCCTCCTTTCTTGGTTTAGTGTTTTTTGGCAATTGTTCATAAATGATGGTTTCTGGCTCTGAGGATGCCCTTCACATGATCGACGAAAGCTCAGTACAGATTTATCAGGGTTGCAGGACGAGCCGAGGTCTTCTTCGCAGAATCCAACAGATATAGGTCCAAGGCAACCCTCCTTCGGTATCCAGTGCGGCCAAATTACGAATCCCTCCCATCCGCTTCGTCAAACAAAATAAAAAGGATGCCAAAATCAATCTATTAAAGGAGCCTTCAAAACCCAGCTCAAAAAAAAATTATTCTTGACCTCGACCTAATTAATTTAACAAGTGCTAAATTTAATACACTTTTAAAAAGTGATATTTCATCAAGTAATAGATGAAACATTATAGTGATAAATCAATTAAAACCTATTTAAAGAAGTGGTAGAGAGCATAGCCGAAAAGGACTAATTTTTACAACCAATACTGTTAGAACTAGATCAAAATATGAAGAAAAACTGGGTTTCGAAGAATTTTTTAGTGATATATTGTGACATGACTTTCCATTTCAAAGGAAAAATTGGTTGGAACGAATTCTTGATGTACTCACACCAGAAACAGAAGGAGGCTTCCCGTGTTGTGTTGTGCGGGAAAGTAGCCAGCTCACTCTCATGCGACCCCGACGAACTTATGCTAATCTTTTGTCTGTACTTTGACAGTTATCATTAGAGCAAGAATCCATGCTTGAGGAAATAAAGCAAAAGTATACTAAACTAAGAGAAAAGATGGCCGGCTGCAACCCTCTTACCTTTTTATACACTTAACCCTGGGATGTTAATTAGGCATTTGATTAATTGATTGGCTATTTCAACCATACTCTACATGCTTACAGATGAGTATTGTTACTTCCTGAACCAGAAGTGTGTTCGGTAGCACCTGTTTCCTGACAGAAATAAATAGACTAGATGTAAAAGTCCTAGCTAAAATCGAAGCTAATCTAGCCTTCTCTTTTTCAATGGCATTTCCTACTCTCCTTCTCCCTCCCTTTCCCTAAGCCTATCCAACAGCCACAAAGTTCCTACTTAATTCGCTACATTCGCTCCTCCTATTCAGAAAGTTAACTTTTTTGTTAATTTTTATAGACTCCTTAATATTACGCTTTGAGATGACGTAACCAACAATACGTTTTTTTGGACCAGTCCATTAGGAATCCTGTATTTGCCATGTGTTCAGCAAACTCAGATTTTTGTATTATATACCTTAACAAATGTGGTTTTGCGTCTGTATAGCCTCTTCTGTATTGGTCGGCAGGTCTTGCTTACATAATAGACATTAGCACTTAAACACAAAACATTGTAATAACCTGATCCGAAAATTATCTAAACTAAGGAAATACTGAAGAACATGTTATTTTTCTTAATACATTGTTCTTATGTTCCACTTCCTTATTAGATCATCCATATTTTTTTGCAAGCTGACAGGAAGGCCAAATCAGGAACCGAGTAAAATGATCCAATCGTCTATCCCGACCCAGATGGCAAACTCCCCTCATCTTGTTACTGACAACTACAATGGAAATGTCCACTAATCCTAATGTGTAATTGTTGTGAAACAATATATGTCTCAATCCACTCATCTCCTGGTACCTGTGGTTTACGTATTCAAAAAACAGACACTTTATTATCATTGCTTTCGTAGCTCCTATTTTGACTCTATATGTATGATTTGAGAAGAAATTATTAAGGAAACTTAGGAACCAAGAATGCCTTTATAAAGACATGAACTTTTATTTGAGCCATGTAGTTATTAGTTTACATAAATCAACAATAAATGATCGTATGTTTGTTTATTTGTGTAAGGAAACAATTGTCATCGAACACACTTCCGGTTCTTGAAGTAACTTCATTCATCTGCAAGTATATAAGGTTGAAGTAGCCAATCAAATCATGGGATGCCTAGTTAAGATCCCAAGGTTAGGTGTATAAAAAGCGACTAGAGTTGCAGCCGGATATTCCTTCTCTTGGTTTACTATATTTTTGCTCTATTTCGTAAAGTATGGATTCTTGCTCTGATGATGTCTGCCACAGTACAGACGAAAGCTTAGCACAGGTTCATCGGGGTCGCAGGACGATGAGCTGAGGATTTCTTCACACAATTCAACAGACTTCCATGCGTGGCAATCTCTTTCGGTTTCCAGTGAGAACTTTCAACCAACTTGTCCTCCGAAATGAAAAATAATGCCACACTAGAGTGAAATGACTAACCACTGATTAGTCCAAGCAAAAGTGTATGATAGAACTGTCACAAATAAATAAATTACCTTAACAAAACGATGAGAAGAGCGTTGGAATTCATAAAATAGTTAAAATTAAAACAGACAAAAGCACTCACAAAAATAAGTTACACCAGCATAAGAGATGGTCAAAAAATAATGTCTTAAGTAGAAGAGTAGATGTTATTAATAATCTCTGAGGATAATAGAATATTTAAAGACGTATAAACAAACTTGAAAAAAATCCTTGATATCAAGAAATTTATACGGCCACTCTTCATCTCAACTCCGCTTGCCCCACTTTCAAAATACTCCATGCAACTAAGTAATGAAAACGTTGCTTAAGTTTGGAACTCTCGCCGTATTCCTAATTTATGAAACTTCCGCCACATCTCTAATTTATGGAACTTTTATTAGGAAAGGTTTTGAAGTCTACATGGCTTAAAAATTCCATGCTCTTGTCAATAAACTCAAGGGACTTGTATTGCATCCAACAAGAAGGTTAAGATTTTCATTCATAATGAGCAACAAAATATTTTAAATTTTACCATTATTAATATTATTTTTTTAATTCAATAAAGTGGAAACTGTATATAAAGCATTAAGAAAGCTATTAGTATTGGTGTGTTAGTTGAAAAATAGTAAAAATAATCTGCTTGTTTAAGGTAGCCAGGTAGTAGAATATGCACTGGTCTAAGGTGCTTAGGGAAGATACTAGGGGCCCGGATACAGCAGCTCACCTTGATAGCTTCTCTGAGTGTGGCCCCAAGCAACCAGTTGCCATTCACTTCAAGAAGGCGAGAGCCCGGACGTATACGACCATCGCGAGAGATAAGGCCATCAGGCAACACTTGGGCGATAAACACGCCCTCATCAGAGGGGTCTGAAGGAACAACAGAACTTCCGAGTCCCAGAGGCAGCCGATTGGGACAGTTGGGGGCGAAAAAGGAGCCAGACATCTTGAGGGATTGAAGAAGGACGCCGCCGACGATACGCATGCCAAATCGCTCTCCCGGTAGATGAATAAGCGTCAAGTCCTGCATCGATGCAAAGTATCAATATAATATTATTTATATAATAGATACGAAGAGTAACTGGGTTGCGATGAATCTACTAAGATAACATTGTTGTAGAGACTTTCATTTTGATTGAAAGTGCACGAAGAAGAGATTCGAAGGTCGATCTCACCAGAAAGGGATGGCTGACTCCCGCTGTAATGCAGCCGTTTGGCGTTAATACGGCATTCAGGTTAATGCAGTTCACAAGACACTCCCCCTCGTTTCAGGTGAAAATGGTCTGAGCTTTCGCCTACCGTATGATGGATATCCTCAGAGCTAGAACTCATTCTTGTAAAAGTCTCACGTTAGCGCTAGGTCAAGAAGACTATCCAACTATATCTTACCTCTTATATAGACTCAATTAAGTATAATAAAATAAATAGGCATAAGTAGATATAGAATGGTTCGGCTACTTATCTTTTATATTGGTCCTGCTACTTTTGCTCGAGCGTATGCATGTGCGTTGCCCCCTTATCAACGTAAGACTTTTACAAGAATGAGCTCCAGCCCTGATAATGTCCATCATATGATGGACGAAAGCTCAGCCCGTTTTCACCAGAAACGAGTAAGGATGCACCAATCTGAACGTCGTATTAAAAACAAACCGCTGCAATACAACGGGAATCAGCCTTCTTCTTCTGGCCAGTTCGACCTTCAAATTAGTCCTTCATGCACTTTCATACGAAATGAAAGTGTATTAAATAATATTTATACTAGTCAACATAAAAGAGAATTAAGACAGCAGCCATTCATTAAAAGAATAGACAGCTAGCTCCACATATAATTACAGATAATGCGCGAATATGTGATTATTTATTAATGAGATGATCAGTTATAGCTGGAATCTAGGTTCCAAAAACGGTTAAACAGTTTATTTGTGTAAGTTAGGCTAGAATGCTAGCAATCATGAAATCAGAAGAAAAAAAGACAATGTACACTTCTTAGCTAAACTTTTCCAGAACATTACCATGCCAGATAGGAACTAGAGGAGATATGAGCAAGGTAATGTGTAGAACTTAAAAAAAAATTGCTAAGTCTACTTTGTGAGCATAGCAGCAGCTATTGAATTTGATGAGCTGATTTGTCAAACAATGTTTTCGACACTGAAATTGTCCCTAAAAATAATGCAATATCAGCTGAATTCGAGGTTTCGTCACTCTTAATAAATGCCATCTTTAGAAATAATACTTATGATAGACACTACCACTGTTGGCTTTATTGAGCGTGGCGCCACCAATAGAAGTGTATGAATGCTATCGTGGCATGCGCTAAAATACGAGTTCATTTGCTTTAAATTAGTTAGAATTTCGGGGATACGCGATAAAGTAATATTTTGTGAAAAAAATCAAACCTGCAATTCAATTGGCAGCATTATGGTTAGTTTCTGCCGTTTAGATGTGCAATTGAAGGAGCCTTATTGGAAAACGATTAATTACGCATGCTTATGGTCACAAACGGAAATTAATTTTTTGCTAGCATATTGCTACCAATGCTATCAGTCATAGTTACTTCTGTCATCTTGTCTGCTTATTCG